CGTGGCCAGGGGGCAAGTCTGCTGCGGTGATGAGCTGCACCTCATTATCCCTCATTAAGAGGGCAGGGCGGCTGGCGGAGCCAGGAACTGGTTCGTGCTCCCTGGGGCCAACCTCCCCACGCTGGCACAGGGCCCGGCTGTCCCGGGAGACCCGAGCTCCCGACGCCAGGCAGCCCCTCTCCCCTGCGGCCCCACAGCCGGGGGTGGAGGGGACCCCAGCACAGCCAGGAGAGGCAGAGCAGATGTGTGGGTTCCCTCCCAAAGGCTGTTTTCCCACGCACAGGTAAAGCTCAGCTCCAGGGATGCCAAGTCCTGGAAGCTTGGGGTGAGTAGTTTCGGGACTGTCGCTCCCAGCTCTGCTCTGGTAAATTGGGATGTCTGTGGGCAGTTTTGGCTCACCATCCAGCTCAATCTCCATCCTCACAGCCCAAGAGCTGCCAACCCCCTGCCCAAGATCCCAGCTGCAATGCTCACTACCTCTCCAGCCTCCAGCCACCACGGGAATGTAGTGTTCCCACAGCTGTGGGTGTGAAGGAGCTTTGACAACATCATTCTCCACTCTCCTCTCCCTTCTCCTCTCCCCTCTCCCTGTCTGGCCATTCCCAGACCCAAAGGGCAGGAGACTCATCCTGCTTGGCTGCCTGAGGGGACAACAACACAGCTCCAGCCCCGCAGCAAACCCAACAGGCTGCCAGTGAGCCCAGGGCTTTGCTCCATGGGCTGCCCATGGTCCCCATGCTCGTCCTGTCCTGTCCACACAGAGCCCTCAGGGCAGGTAACAGCTCCAGGCTCAGTCCTGCCCCGAGGTGACATCCCCACACAGCATTGTGGCAGTGTCACATCCTCTACCACAACGGCCCCCAGCACCACTGGCCAAGGGCTCAGAGGGCTCCAATCTGCCCCCTCAAAGTGGTGCCTCACCACCAACCTCCAAGTGCCAGGGTGCTTGGCCACAAATCAACCCTCTGGTTCATCTCTTTGGGGGCAGATTTGGGTCCCACAGGCCCTTTCCAAGGCTGGAAGCCCCTGGGAGGTGGGTGCTGCTGGGTGCAGCATGGCTCTGCTGCCTCTAAAGGGAGTAGGACACACCTGGTGCAGGTGTCCACACATGTCCAGTTGACCAGCCAGGGCCCACCGTGGCCAGTGACCAGCAGAGGGTAGCAGATGGTCAGAGCTATCCTGCTGCAGCTTGGACAGGGATGCCCAAAAAGCATCTCTAATCCTACCCTGCTTCTCCTGGGCTGTGCCCCACCACCTCCTCCAGCACACCTCCTGCCTCTGTCTGGATGTGCAGCCCCCATGATCCCTGTCCTGGTCTCTCTATCACTTCCTAAACCACTCTGAGGTGAACAGTGCAACTTTGGCAGGTGTGTGGCACCTGTGGCAAACCCTCAGGGGATGGTCCCTCTCGCAGGACACTGCCCATGCTTCACCCAGGACCTTTGGGGCTGAAAGCTCAGCACAGCCCCACCAGCCTGGAGCAAGAGGACTTGGGGAAACAGAACTTCAGTTTTCCATTACCCAGAGAAGGGCTGTGGAGAAAGGAGACATAGCAGTGCATGGCAGAAGGACAAGGGACAATGGGCACAGCTGCACATAAGGAAAATCATAGAACAACGGAATCATTTAGGTTGGAAACGGCCTCTAAGATCGAGTCTAACTGCTCCCACAGCACTGCCATGGTCACCACTAAACCATGTCCCTAAGTGCCATATCCACACAGCTTCTGAACACTTGCAGGGATGGTGACTCTACCACTGCCCTGCGAAGTCTGTTCTAATGCCTGACCACCCCATCAGGGAAGAAATAACCCTTTCAAGGTGTGTGGCACAATGGCACACAAGACCCACAGCAGAGGAACCTCCATCTTTTGAGGGTTTCCAAACCTGAGTGGACACCAGAGGCTCTGATCAACCTGACCTTTGGAACTAGCCCTGATTTAAGCAGTAGGTTAGACTCAAGACCTCTGCAGATTCCTTCTACCCTACATCTTTCTGTGACTCTGTGAACCCCAAATCCAGCATTTACTCCTGGCTTTGACCAGGGACAAATCTGCTCTATGGGAAATTGGCCTTTATGGGGTCCATCACACATGTGATATGTCAGTGCCTCATAGAATCACAGACTGGTTTGTGTTGGAAGGACATTAAAGCTCACCCCATCACACTCCCTGCCGTGTGCAGGGACACGCACCGCCCCAAGCCCGGTCCAGCCTGGCCTGGAACACTTCCAGGGATGGGGCAAGCTACAGTTTCTCTGGGCAACCTGTGCCAGTCCCTCAGCACCTCACAGGGAGGAATTCCTTCCCAATATCCCATCTATCTCTGCCCTTTGGCAGTGGGAAGCCATTCCCTGTGTCCTGTCCCTCCATCCCTTGTCCCAAGTCCCTCTGCAGCTCTCCTGGAGCCCCTTTAGGCACTGGAAGGTGAGGTGAGGTCTCCCTGGAGCTTCTCTTCTCCAGGCTGGACACCCCCAGCTCTCCCAGCCTGGCTCAAGGACAGAGGAGCTCCCACCTCTCCCCTCTCTCTAACACAATCTGTACAACTATGGGAAGAAGTCACTAAAGAATGACTTGTAACTTCAGTGAATAACCAGCATTGCTTGAGCATGATCCCACCTGAGGCACATCCAGCTGAGATGCTGCAGCAGCACAGCATCCCACACACACTCACAGAGAAGGTAGCAGCTTCCTGAACCCCACCATGCTTCCAGCAGGGAGCAGGGTCTCTGCCAACAGAGAGAACCAGGTTTTGGTCCCCACCCTGAGGATGGTACATGAGACCTGTGCTGCAGCTCCTGCCCCCACCACATCCCTGAGTCTGGGCTATCTGCTCCACAGGCCAATTGCCTTCTGCTACCACCTCACCAAACCCAACCATACACCCAGGGCAATGCGACCTGCTGGAATCTGGGTCCCAGGATGGCACACCTGGAGTCAGGGGGGAATTCTGGAGTTGTTTAAGGAGCTTAATCCCCATCTCAGCCTCGAGAACACCATGTAAAACCGAGTGTGATCAACAGGAGAAAGTGTTTAAGTTGATCAAGGAGCTCAAGTCCTGCCCCACCAAAGTATTTGTGCTTCTGTTGTGCCTCTCAGAATACTGCCTGTCTCATTTGCTCAACCACAATGTTTATAACTTTAAGAAAACCCCAAAACTAAATTGCCTGTGAGCTCCTAACTGAGCTGCAGTGAGGCTGATCCATGGGTCTGTCACACCGGTCCAACCAGAGAATCGCAGACAGGGAGGAAAGAACTCAGATGAAAACGAATTAAACCTGGGCAGGTGCCAAACTCACTGCCAAACTGACTGCTTAATGATGCATGAGCTGCTGGAAATCCAGGGAGTAGGTGAAAAGCTGTTGATTATTTGGCACTGCTGGGCAAGGCTGTTTGGAGGCACCACCTGAAACAGTGATAGGGGTTCGATAGGGCCAGCACACGTGTGGTGCTCCTGACACACCCCAGAAGGGCTGGCCAGGGCCTCCCAGCATCAGTCTTTGCTGAACACAGCATGCTGAGGCACTGGCACTGCTTTCCCAGAGCAGCTGTGGCTGCCCCATCCCTGGAAATGTTCCAGGCCAGATTGGACAGGGCTTGGAGCAACCTGGGCTGGTGGGAGGTGCCCCTGCCTATGGCAGGGGGTGGAATGGGTGGTCTTGAAAGTCCCTTCCATTCCAAAACATTCCAGGATTCTGCAGCCCCTCTGCCCTGGAGCCCGGCTGGGGGGG